GTCATTCCGATCACGCCAGCAGACGCGACGAACCCGCGGAGTGGAAACCGGGTCTTTCCGCCCACACCAGCTAACCCCGGGCCCAACTAAACATCGTGACCAGGGAGGAATAGTGGCACGATCTCGCCAACTCAGAGCACCGAACAACTTCCGAATGGGCCTTGCCGGCGCCGTGAGACAAACCGAGGTGCTACGACCTATGGTGTCGATTTCACCCACGGCAATCATCAAAGTCGAGGCAGGATGAAGACTTCACCTTGTTCGGGCACTGATAGATGCTTGTACACCATCCAGCGTAATATCGAGCGACCTTCCGAGGGAGCTGGGCTGAAAGGTAGCCCGGTGGGGGAGGGAAAGAGGCTGTCTACTGAGTATTCGAGGGAAGCACGGGGTAAATAAGCTGGTGGAAACCCATGCACACATAATAAAAAATTACCGACGAATATCACCGCCTAAAAATGTCGACCCGGCCATAGCTGCGACATATGCGCACATTCGGCTCGCCGACCCGAAATTCTTCAGGTCCTCTCCGATTCGGATCGTCCTCGGCGCGGATATCTACGCCGACATCATCATGCCCAGTATTCTGCCGACACCCTTTGGGCCTCTGTTGGCCCAAAGCACAATCTTTGGATACGTGCTTTCAGACGTCTGCCGCACGTATTGGAAAAATTACCAGCCACATTTTATTTACCTTTTTTATTGTACAAACATGAATTTCGAATTTTATTTATGTTTTTTTTGTAACAAAAGTGCATCTGAAAATATCCACGTATCTTTCACTTAATTCCTTTACCTCTCTTCCCCTCAATCAGCAGTATAGGTGGAAACGGCCATTGAAACGATACAGCGGCAATTGATGAACCTGGCTCATCGCAGTTATGTATATCCAGAATAATTTCACATAATTTTTTTTTAGTTTAATCACATGTACAGAGGTGAGCTGGTAGCTGCTGCATAAATGTTAGATGTTGCTTGCTGCAAGGGGGCCGGCATGTTTAGGCCGTCAACCTAAAGATTTTCATTCTTTTGTGACCCGCCCTAGTGTTGGCATATAGGCGTATGCACACACATATACACATGCACACCAATTATGATTAACTCGCGCCGTTAACTGACGTTTCCCGCCGGATAATAACCTATCGTTAAGTTTCCCCTTAATATCGGTTGTTGTCCGGCGGTCCAATTTAAAATCACGCAAATACTTAAGATCACTTCGGTTTAGAAGATCAACGCGAGCAGACCAGCAGCTACCAGGCCACTTTCACTTAGGTAACACCATTGTTATTTATACCAATATTTATTGAAATCTGACTCTGAATATTTTAAATTAAATAAATACTAAAAAACAAATATTTCGCTTTGGTTTTTATTGCCATTCATTATCACCTGTACCGGAGCGTTATTCCCGATACGCGCCCCCCGTGCAAGTTCATTGAGAATATATAATCTGATAATGAGAAATGTAAATTGATAATGAGAAAATACAAATTGATAATGAAAAATATAAATTCATATTGAGAAAATACAAATTGATAATGAGAAATGTAAATTCATATTGAGTATATGTATATAAATTGATAATGAGAAAACATAAATTCATAATGAGAAAATACGTACACTCAGGCTTATCGCTGGGTGTTAGCGAAGATACGGAAGCAAAACCAAGAGGTGTAAGCGACCGAAAAAGCTGGCTGAAGACAACATGATGACTATGTTATCGTGGCTTGAAGGTGACTGCAGTTTTACCCTTGGACAATTTAAAAGAAAAGTACAAAACCAGTTTAATGTAGAATTGAGCACCACAGCAGTGGCAAATTATCTCAAGGGCAATCTGTACAGTGGCAAAAAAGTCCATACGCAACCAATAACCATGAACTCGCAGGATAACAAATTGATACGAGCCGAAAGTGGTAAACAAATAGCATGGAAGGATGAAACAAATTTTAATTTATTTCGTCGAATGTCACGTTGCCGATAAAAAAAATTGGCCACCGCGCCACTCTACAGCTCCCTGCTTCCAGAGGGACAATCGTCCACTTTATTAATGCAATAACCACAGCTGAAGTGTTACACATAAAAAGGCAAACGGGGGCGCTCACACACAGCGGGGCCGTAAATACGTTGTCCAACTGTAATTTCGAGTTGTATATATTATAAATTTTTTTAGCAGTGTCCCTTGATGCTTGCTTTAATTCACCTAATATCACGACATTAGCTCGCAGACTCCAGAGTAATGTACTTGTAGCTCTTCAGTGATATAATTTTTTATGTTCTTATTATCAGTTTACATTTTCTCATTATCAATTTATATATTCTCATTATGAACCTACATTCCTCATTATGAATTTATATATTCTCAATATGAATTTATATTTCCCATTATCAATTTTTATTTTCTCATTATGATTTTATATTTCTCATTACCAACTTATATATTCTCGATATAAATTTACATTTCTCATTATAAAGTTGTACTTTCTCAATATGAATTTACGCTTCTCATTATCAATTTGGAATTTCTCAATATGAATTTACATTTTCTCATTATAAACTTGAAAAGGTGTAGTGGGATGAATGTTGAGTTGGAACCCACGCCAATCCGTACTTGTAACTTTGGAGTCGTCAGAGTGCAGAGATGAGCCCGAACCACACGCAGTTCGGCATCATGCTCTTGCTGTTGCTTATCATCGAGTTGTCGCATTGTCCGTAGTAAAAATTTTCGTCGTAGACGACGTCTGGCCCCTTCCATCAAAGGGATAAACTACTTCGGGCTTGTGGCGTTATGCCGCGACTGGCGCAATCGGCGGGATTCTCCTTAGTTCGTATATGATGCCAATGTGAAATACTGGAATGCTGCTGGATGTACGCAACCCGATTCGACACATACTGCATCAGATTGCTTGGTGACTTACGAATCCAAGAGAGAACTATTCTAGAGTCGCTCCAATACATACATTGGTCTTGGCTGAGCTGAAGAACTTCTCGAGCGCTCACCATCGTAGTAACCAGAAAGTGTGCAGCGCATAACTCCAACCTGGGAATGGTTATAGCTTTCAGTGGACTAACCTTTGTTCGCGCAGTCACCAGCCCTACTCGGACTGTCCCATCAGTTTCAATACTTCGAGCATAAATGACGGCTTCATATGCCCTTTCGCTGGCGTAGAAAAACCCATATAGCGTTGTATTGACAGACTTCGCCATTCCGATCCAACGAGGTATGCGGAGATCCGTGACGGCTGGTATAGCGCTTCGAAATTTAAGCCATTTCTTGCGGAGTTCGGGGGTGGTAGAGGTGTGTCCCAATCGATCTTAGCCGCCCATGTCAACTGCATCAATATCTTAGCTGTCATCGATACTGGCGCCAAGAGTCCCAGGGGGTGAAAGATTTTAGCCACTTCGCTCAACACCTGGCGTTTAGTAGGAACCGGGATGATTGCATCTAATCGTACTTGGAAAAAAAGCTCGTCTGTAATCGGAGCCCAGTGCAGGCCCCACACTTTCGCATCAGTGGCCCCTAAATTTAATCTGAACTTGACGACCCTAAGCCACATGTGAAAAGAACATCTGCCGCGCTCGAGTTCCACTTGCAAAGTCTAAACCGACCATGTTGCAATATCGTTGTGATGTCTCTAGCTAAGGTGGCAGCTTCCGATGGAGTATCCATGCTATCAAGAAGGTCATCCATATAGAAATTACGCAGAATACTATCTCGGGCCTTTGCCGCTCGAGCCTCATCAGGAAACGCTGATTGGTTTTCATTTACACACTGCTGCAAGACGCGTGCCGCGTTGAAAGGACTGCAAACCATACCGTAAGTTAACGTCGTTAACTGATACGCACCGAGAGGACCACTTGGGCTTTCCCGCCAGAAAATTTGCTGCCAACATCTATGTCTGGAATCAACTTCGATCTGCCGAAACATCTTCTCGATGTCAGCAGTGATAGCTATACGGAAACGACGGTACCGGAGAAGAATGGCGGCAAGTGGATCCTGGACGGGCGGTCCAACTAGCTGAGTATCGTTTAAGGAAACGCCATTGCTTGTCTTCGCAGAGGTGTTGAAAACTACCCGGAACTTCGACGTCACGGCATGGTGGGGTATATAATAAACTTGTAATGGGTCGCCTGGTTGCGGTGTTATCTTCTCCATGTGCCCGAGTGCCTCATAGTCGCGCATGAACTGAATATATTTGTTACGTAGCTCATCATCATTACTCAAGCGGCGATCAAGATTGAGCAATTGGTTAAATGCCTTGACATATGAATTGCCAAAAGCTGATGCATTCAGTGAAAATGGGATTTGTACTACGTATCGGCCGTCGCTTTTGCGCGATACCGTTTTACAAAAAATCTCTTCGCTAAGGTTGTCAACAGCTGGGGGTCGGCCAACCTCCTCCAGCTCCCAGAAACGTTGCAGTATCTCATCTAGTCGCTCCTCTTCCGCGACGCATTTCGGTAACGCGCGTAAAGTTGGAAGCGACGTACAGCGTGGGAACGCAGGTCCGCAAATGACCCACCCCAGACGGGTGGACAGGGCGCACGGCTATTTAGACCCGCCAGTGATTGTGTCCCCTAGGGGGAACATACCCCAAATATCCGCTCCAATGAGAACATCGATGCTCCCTGGAGTGTGAAACGTGGGATCGGCTAGTGGTATGTCTCTCAAATGTTGATAGTGGTTAATGTCTATTGGCGACGCAGGAATCTCTGAAGTTAATTGTGGTAGGATATGAGCTTCAAAGGTGCACTCAAACGTGGCACCGTGGTATGAGCGCATCACCAGCTCGCCTGGCCACGCGACGAAGTCACCCTCTGAGAGCCAATTCCTTCTATCGTAACCGTGTTCCGTCTTCTGTGGAGACTTAAGTGGTTGAAAAATCTTCTGTAATGAAGCTTACCTGTGAACCCATATCGCCCAATATACGGCAGGCTACTTCTTCCCCCACCTTGTCTAAAAGTGGAGCTCTAGCCGTGGCCAGAAGAACGATCCCCTCAGATTACGCCAGGAGAGACTGCATCACATCTATGCGAGGCAAAACCTGTGGCGTAATGGCGCCGATAGATGTTTCAAATGCGGGGGCTGGTCGCGTTGCCGCACTGGTGGTTGCAGGTAACTTCCCGATGCATGAAGAAGTCTTACAAAGCAAGGTGTTGTGTTTCTGTTTGCAGTTGTTGCAGGATATTGAGCTGCACTCTCTAGCCGAGTGGCTAGTTCCGAGACAATTATAGCATAAATATGCTTGCCGCACCAGGTTCAAACGTTGATCTACAGTCAGTGCTCGAAATTGTGGACATCTTGACAGGCGATGTGGTTCCGAGCACCGTGGACAGGCCAGCGACGATTTCATGGTTGCGTTCAGAGACTTCGGGGTAACTACATGTGATTGTGCCACACGACGCGCTGTTGACGGTCGGAGTGACACATTAGGGTCGCATCTCAGAGTATCCGCGTAAGTCTCGATCTCCTCTAGCATTTTCTGCAGATTAGGTAATGTTTCGGCGTGGTATAAAACCGTCCAGTGTGAGACAGCCGGAGTTGGTAGTTTGCGGGGGACTATGGGACAAACGATGGCATCCCATTGGTCAGTTGCCAGACCCTTTACGTTCAGGGCACGTAAAGTACTGCGCACCACATCGATAATGTTGTGAACGTTGTGCTGCGTTAGAACTGGATGTTCCGGCAAGTCAAATAGCCGATACACGTGCGACTCAACCAAGCGCCGAGGATTATCATATCGCCTTTTCAACTCGGCCCATAGCTGGCTGTAGGCCCCCGTGTATACTCCACCAACCATGGGTACTGCCTGAGCGTGAACACATTGCCTCAACCGACTGAGTTTATATCTGTCGTCAAGATCGGTGCGATTGTGCACCAATGATTCGAAAATGTCTTTAAACATCAACCAGTCTTCCGGTTGACCATCAAATGCTGGAATCTTGACCGGATCCAAACGATGCTCTGATTGGCACCGCACGGGCGCAGCATTCGACGGAGTGGTTACAGCAGCTCGCATGCGTTGCAGTTTGGTAACGATACTACCGTGAACCCTCTCCACTTGAGCAAGTAACTTGTCGTGTGCATCCAATTCATCTGGAGTCGCTTCGCCCACTAACGCCAGGTGATTTTCCAAAAAACGGTTCCAGATAGCGTGCTAATGGTGTAATCAATCTGCACCGTATCGGGAGCATATCCCTCAGCCTCGACTTCCACCTTAATTCTTAAAATGGAGCTCCTTGCCGCAGTTCTCAAATTAATCGCTGCCATTATTCCGACGAATACCCTTTAATGACTTGCAAAGTTAGCACTTGGTCGCAATTGTCAGTCCTCACAGGAGGCTCAAAAACTATATGCGAAAATGAAAAGGTCGTTTATGATAGGTTATACGCACCAAAGCGAATGAGAAACTTTATTTTATTGAAAGTGCCCTTTATAGCAGCCGCCGAATGTTTTCCAAACGGTATAGTGGCGTGATTTCCTAGCGTTATGTATTTGTAAAACAATTGTATGTATGTAAGATGTACAAAGGAGAGTATGAAAATTAAACGTCAAATGCTTATGCTTAAGGGGACTGCTCATGGTACGACTTGTTAGGCCGACTTAATCTTGTACAATCAGTAATCGACGACTGTATCAACATGGAACGGAAAAGGGTGACATCAGGCGTTGTTGCAACCACTGGACATGAAGGAAGCGTACTTTATAGCATTCGACACAATGGATCCTTCAAAACATTACAAAAAGACATTACAAACCAATCGCCACAGCCAGACATTCCCTTGACCGTACACGAATTGGCAAAAGCGCTTGTGGTAATCGTTCGTACAATGCAGCAATTGGACTTTGAGGAAGAGCTTCAGCACCTTAAAAAATAAAACGAAGTTCGCAAAAACAGTTCTTTCCGCAGCCAGTCACCGTTTCTGGACAATAATGGCATCATCCGAGTTGGGGGCCGTCTACAAGCATCAGAACTTGCATACGATACCAAACACCCTATGCTAATTCCACATAACAATTCACTCGCAAAATTATTAGTACAAATGATCCATAAAGGAAACCGTCATTGTGGCCCTCAAGCGCTCTTAGCATACACAAGGCAAAGATTTTGGCCTTTTAAGGGAAAATTGCTGGCATGATCAATTTTGCTAAACTGTGTAAGATGCACCAAAGCTAAGCCAAAACTAATAAGTCAAATTTTGGGGAACTTGCCTTCAACGAGAGTAACTCCGGCAAGACCATTCACCAACTCAGGCGTGGACTTCTGTGGGCCATTTTGGGTTCACTTCAAGATAAGGGGAAAGAAACCACAAAAGGCCTATGTAGCGGTATTTTGTTGTTTTGCACAAAGGCAGTACATTTGGAATTAGTCAGAGACTTAACGACGGATGCATTTATTGGTGCATTAAAACGATTTATAATCCGAAGAGGACATTGTCAAAATTTATATTGTGACAACGCAACCAATTTTGTAGGCGCGAAAAAACCACCTTTCTGAACTTACTGACGTTGTTTATGGAAATTCATCACGAGAATCAATAGTAAAGCGGTGCAGCGGAAAGGGAATAACATTTCATTTCATACCTCCTAGGACTCCACATTTTAGCGGTTTATGGGAAGCAGCGGTAAAATCAGCTAAGCATCTATAATAAGAAGCACCTCGACAGCGTCCTTAACGTATGAAGAATTGGACACGGTAATCATCGAGGTGGAAGGAATCCTAAATTCCAGACCAATCAGCACAATCCTAACGATCTAACAGCTTTAACTCCAGGCCACTTCCTCATAGGAGAACACCTTAATGCCCAAGTTGATCCAACGTGTAGGCCGCAGCAAACAAATTTATTAACAAGATGGAAACTTGTTTCTCACCTCAAACGCGAGTTTTGGAATCGGTGGTCCCGCGAATATTTATCTGACCTTCAGCTGTGAAATAAGTGGAAGACACAACACAACAACATCAACGTAGGTGACATGGTGATCATCAAAGAAGACAACACACCGTATATGAAGGAAACGACGGTGTAGT